GGAACCTGCCAGACCCAGGAAGGAGAAGGCTAGCAGAGTTAAGCTGCCTGTACTAGAACAACCACGGACAAGCCCAACTAGACCTGGCGCTCGGCCTCTGCAGTCCAGCCCGGTTCTAAGTCCTCCAGGGACGGAGCCCGAGTCACTGGGCCGCGCCACCATCCACCCGCCTCAGCATTCTCCAAAGAGCACGGTAAGCCTCCGCTGAGTCACAGAGTTCAGACACAGACAGAACTTAAGACAATGTGCAAAACTGTGAAAAGCGGTGTCTGACAGCGGGCTTTCCACGGCAGGAGTGCGACTCTGAGACTCCCCTGCCCTTACAACCTGGCTGACCTGCGGGAATATTTCCTTTATTTGGGGCCCTTTTATGCCCATATACGTATATTTTTTTATTGAGTAAACAACAAATTAATCATAAAACAATCAAAACTATGAAAAAGAAACAAAAATCTAATAATCCCACCATTCGAGACACCCAATATTAACACTGGTGTATTTCCTGCACGTCTTTTCTCTGAGAGATACAAAAATAAGATCAACTCTAACTCTACACAGCCTGCTCCCTGACTTCTTCACTCACATGGACATCTCCCGTGGTAGAAAAGTCCCTCACGGGTTTTTACCGGCTGGGGTGGCCTATAGCCTGCACTGGTGTAACCGTTTATTGCCTGCAAGGTGGGTATGTAGGGCGTTTCCAATCTTCTGCTGCTGTTGAGTCTCAGGCAGCAGACAGCTCACAGGTCAATGGTTCCCTTCGCTTTGAATTTCTTTGCAGACCGCTCACTTGACCGAAGCTGGAATTTGCTCCCATAAATGTAGGAAATGAAGCCATCGATTTCCACGGCAAACACACAGTTTAGCTTGGGAATAACTGGAGAAAAGAAAAGGCGGGAAAAAATCCTGGCAGGAACTTCGCGTTATGCACAATGTTCTTCATAAAATGGTTGTATTAAAAAGATTACAATAAGCCAACAGGCCGTGCGGAAGCCACAAAGGTAGCACCGCAAAGATTAAATGTAGTTACTCCGCTATCAGGCCAGTTCATTCACATCGTAAATACAAACCAAAAAAACCAACCTGTTGCCATCGAGTCGATTCCAATTCACAGTGACCCTACAGGACAAAGAACTGCCCCACAGGGTTCCTAAGGGGTGGATGGTAGATTCGAACTGCTGACCTTTTGGCTAGCAGCCAAGCTCTTAACCACTGTGCCACCAGGGCTCACTTAATCCCTACTTTTCAGGCTCAAAGGCTATAAACCAAACTCTCAGAACCAGAAACTGCCAGAAAAAGGTTTCCCCTACAACTGCCAGATGTACTCTAGGCTTTATGCTTAGTGAGGAGCCCTGTACCCCACATTCTGAGGCTTAAAATGAGACTGGAAATACGCCAGAAAACAGAAGGAAACAGCGAGAAAAACCAAGCTCAAAAATTAAAGCAACAAAACCCTCCAAAAACTGGTTTTAGGATCTTGGATTTGTGGGCAAGACAGGGCGCAGAAACACCCACACCGGTGGCCCTGTCTCTGCTGGAGCGACCTGTCCAGGCCGAGCTCACACTCGCGTCCCCGGGATCCATGTATCACCACCACGGGCAGAGCACTCAGAATGCCAGCAATAGGGGTCCCTTTTGTGTCTTCCCTCCTACCTGTTTACCTCCATTCCTTGGGGGAGGCAGCAGCCTTTGGGCAGCTTGTTGTTGTTGCCTTGGAGTCCCTTCCGACTCACGGCGCCCCTCGTGCGCAGAGTAGAACTGCTCCACAGGGTTTTCAAGGCTGTGACCTTTTGGAAGCAGATCGCCAGGCCTGTCTTCCGAGGCACCTCTGGGTGGGTTCAAGCTGCCAAACTTCCAGCTAGTAGTTGAGTGCTTAGCCATCTGTGCCACCAGAGACTCCCTTCGGGCAGGTAAAAAACAAACAAACAAAAACCCAAACCCGTTGCCATTGAGTCGATCCGACTCACAGCAACCCTACAGAACGGAGCAGAACTGCCCCAGAGGGTTTCCCGGGAGCGGCTGGTGGATTTGAACTGCCGACCTTTTCGGAAGGTGGAGGGTCCCGATCCTGGGGCCCAAACAGGCCCAGGTCTTTGAGGCCCAGCCTAGCAGCCCTTCCTTGCCCTCAGCTGCTTCTGGCTGGCGCGGCAGGCTGTGCTCACCAGTGCCTCCAGGGAGGGCTGGCCGGTCAGCAGGTCTGTGCTAACCTGAGAGGCCGAACCGGCCCCTTGGGGCCGCAGTTCAGGGGTGACAGAGCAGCCGGGGAGGCCACAGCCCACAGCCCCTCAGACGCGGTCGCGCACCTTTTAGGCGGTCTTCCTTGGTGATGATTCTGAAGACATACTTTGTCTCCTGTAGAAGGATTCCCGTAACTCCCACATACGAAGGGCACTTGGATTTTGTGACTGTAAAGAAAAAGGGCCATTCAGGGAACCAGCCAGGCATGTGGGGGCTCAGCAGCTTGGGCCTCACTGTCTCAGCAGAAGAGAGAGCACTGGGGTCAGGCATGCTGGGGCTCCACAAGAGCAGGGACCAAGCTGGTGACAGCCCACTTTCCCAAACCCCTGCCCTGTGGCATCTGCAGCTTCTGGGCTGCCTCCTACAGGGTCCTGTTTGCAGGATATGAGGCCGTGGGGGCTTCGGGCAGGATTCGGGCTGCCTCTCACAGGGTCCTGTTTGCAGGGTCTGAGCCTGTGGGGCTCGGGGCAGGATTCTGGGCTGCCTCTCACAGGGTCCTGTTTGCAGGGTCTGTAGCTGCAGGGGGCTCGGGGCAGGATTCTGGGCTGCCTCTCACAGGGTCCTGTTTGCAGGGTCTGTAGCTGCAGGGGGCTCGGGGCAGGATTCTGGGCTGCCTCTCACAGGGTCCTGTTTGCAGGGTCTGTAGCTGCAGGGGGCTCGGGGCAGGATTCTGGAGCCAAGAGGCCACGTCCTGTGACAGGAGCACCACCGAGGTCCATGGTCTGGTTGCCTGGTGAAGCTCAAGTCTCTTCAGGAGAACGTGAACGAACCCCATCCATCATGCACTTCCCCACAACCTGACCCCCAAACTCTGGCTGCAACGGGAGTCCTGCCACAGGGCGGCTCGCAGCCCCTCCCCTCTCCCGACCCACGCCTCACTGCCCTTCCCAGACGCTCACGAGGCATCTACTGGGCCTGGCGCTGCTCTAGATAGAAGCCGGGGGCACAGAAGTGAACCAGCCAGCCCTGGCCCCTGCTCTCGCAGAGCTAATGTTCCGGGGGTGGCGGGGGTCTGCCAAACTAGCAGTTCTATTCCTGACAGTGATAAGTGCTGGGGAGATAAGGAGCGTACAGTGGGGGTGCAGCCTCTTCAGCCACGGTGGACTCTCACTCGGGAAGTGACATCGGAGAAGGGGCCTGAACACAGAGAAGGGGTCAGCTGTGAATGCACAGGCCACTCTGGGCAGGGGGACAGGCCAACGCACAGGCCCTGAGGCCGGGCCACGCCTGCGGACGCAGAGGTGGCCTGCGTGGTTAGACCCAGCGCCCAAGGAACGCAGAGGCTTGACAGAGCACAGCGAGAATGCGGAATTTTACTCTGACAGGAAGCCATGGGAAGGCTTTAAGCAAGGAAGGGACAGGATCTGATTTCTGTTCTAAAACCCCTGCTCTGGCTGTTGGTGGAGAAAGAACAATGTGTCTGCAGGGAGAGGGTTAGGGGGCAACCCAGGGGCGAAGACAGTGGCTTAGATTCGGGTGAGATGGATGGGAAGTGGGGGCGGGGGGTCAGGTGCGAGCGGGGTCGACAGGGGTGACGATTAGCTGAGATGGGAAACCCAGGGAGGGGAGGCGTGGGGAGAGACCCTGAGCTCTGCTTTGGACATGCACAGTCTGCAAGGCCGCCAAGCACACGGTGGATGCGTGAGCCTGGCGCCCTGGGGAGGGGCGTGGCTGCAGATGTCGGCGTGGGAGCCATCCGCCCACTGCTGCTCCCTGAACCACGGGACTGTGCTCAGATGCCAGGAAGGCGCGAGTGCCGGTGGCCGCTGTACCCTTGGGGACACTGATGGGGTCCCCGTGTGGAGAAAGGGCACAGAGGCCACTGAGAGTGTGTCCAACAGGTGGCCAACATTTGCCACGACAGCTACAGTCACCCTCAGTGCTGGGGACCTGGGGCATCTCAAGGAATTACAAAAGACATGAGCCTCACTCACATCTGTGTGGCAAGGGACATGCTTAATTCTGAGACACAGGTGCCACATTGAGCACTAGGGTGACCAGGTGCTCACAGGCTAATTACCTGAAATCACAGCGCCATGCAGATCTGCTTTTAGCAGCTTGGCCTGAATCATCTCTGGCTGCCTGAAAGGGGAACAGAATCTCTCAGCTGACCCCAGTAGAGAGGGTCCTGAGAGAAGCAAACCTCTGCAGCCTGGCGAGGTGGCTGGCTGTCCTCAGGCTGCACTTACAACACAGATCATAAGACATGCATCTGCCCCAGTGCACGAGGCTCCAGAGATTCAACTCACGTGTCTGGCTTGAGACCATTGCACAGGTTGCGGATGTACTGCTTCCAGAGCTCGTGCAGAGGGAGAAAAAGACTGTACCTATGGTCCAGTGAGAAACAGGCAAAAAGTTAGGCAGGGCGAGTTTGGGTTACAGGATCCAAAGGGTGGGCCCCCAAAGAGCACAGAACTTGGCTCGATGCCCAGGACCTTGACCCAGGATCCACGGGGCACTGGGTGCAAATCCTGCTCCTGTGGCTGTGACCTGACGAAAACCCAGGAGCTCAGCGCTGGACCCCCAGCGCCCTCGCGGCTGGAGCCCTCTGCAGGCTGAGCTTCCACTAGTGAGGGCAGGAAGGGATCGCCTGTGCCCCTCCTTGGCCCTTCCTGCTGGCGAGGTGCACCGTGGCAGCTACAGCCCTGGCAAACGTCTCAGACCATGAGCTGGCGTTCGCCTGGAGTTCTCTTAGTGAGAGAGAAGCAAACATCAATCTCATTTCAGTTGCTATGAGTCTGAAGCTTTGTGCTCTGTGAGGCTGAACTCAGAAAGTGCTCAGCAAACAGAAGGTGCGGCTGACATGCAGGTTCCCATGGAAGGTGACAAGTCTAACGGGAGGTGAGTAAGCAGGGGCGGGGACAGGGCCCCAAAGGACCTCCTCTGGGCACTCTCTGGGGGAATCTGTCTACATGAAACCGTTGGCTGGAGAAATGAGAACCCCAAGCTCACAGCCCCAGTGAGCCCTCCTATAAGGACGCCAGCCTGGTGAACCCGGGCCAGGGGGCAGCCCCTGCCCCACCCAGAGCCCAGCCGATTCCTGAAAAGGGCCACGGACAAAGCGCCACACTTCAACCGTCTTCTGAAACGTGGAGACTGTTTGGCTACAGGCTGCTGAGCAAAGCCCACCAAGCTGTAGGACACACGGACTCAGAACTGAGCCCAGGGGAGCGGCGTGCCCTCCCCCAGGGGACTGACGCATCCCTCTCCGAAATTTCCGAGACGTGTGGGCAGCATCCTCCTTTGGCAGTGAAACCCAGTGGGCGGTTCTGTCC